GTGATAAGCATACCATTAGTAAATAGAGGTACCTTTACCATATTTTGATTAATACCATTGCCCATTGCTATGGACAAAAGTAAATTTGTATACATTGAAACTGAAAATCAGATCGTATGCATAGATCAAACCAGGCAATATTATTTTGCAACAACCAAAGATGAATTAAGTCACTGTAAATCACTAGAACCAGGCACATAGATATGCAAACAAAGTCAGCCTTTGTTAAATAGCCATATGCAAGAATCATGCATAGTAAAACTATTACAACCAAGAATTAACATTCCAAAAATTTGTGATACAACAGTAGTACAAATCACACATACCATTTGGACACAGTTAGAAAAAAGGAATGAATGGATTTATTTTATTCCTTCAAGTGACAGTATCACGATTCTATGTCCAAACGAAGACCAATAGACGTTGTGCTTAAAGGCACTGGAAAACTAAAAATTGAAGCCTGATGTAAAGGCTATAGTCAAACGGCCTTATTATCAACAAAAAATGAAATCCTAGTAAATACGTCAAGATATGGAGGAGATTTATTGTCTAAGATACAATCTCAATTTGATTACATTGAGCAGTTAGGTATTTCATTTAACCTAAGTAACATTGATCTAGATTTTAAATTCAAACAGGTAGTAACACACATGGAAGATTTAAAGTATGCTAGTTTCAAGATTTCAGAATTAGAAAAAATTGCAAAGGAACAAGAATGGAAACATAAACATGCCCAGTATTATAAAACCTACTCCGTACTAGTGTACATTGCTCTCACAATACTTGTTTTGTATGGATTATACAAACTGATAAAATTCATTGTAGCATTGCAATGACATCAACAGATCGCCTATGTTTATCCACGGAATCCAGTGGAACAGGCAATATAGTTAACATTAATATCAAAACCAGCAACGAGAGTTTAGCCGTGAACCCCGAAACAATCCCACTTCAAGACGTGGGAAACACCTCTACGAGCGAAGGCACCCCGGAACTTCGGAGGTCCCGGCGGTTAAGAACCCCCAGATCATATTTCTAAGCCCAATTAAAGTGTAAATTGGCCTTCCTATAAGAGGGGAGGTGTTGTATACGGGCTAATTATAGAAACTGCATTAATTGGTATATCCAATATCTTTAGGTACAAAGCTGCAAATTGTAACTATTTTGTAATTGGTACTCTCCCAATGCTATTTCAAAATAAGCTACAAACAAGTTATCTTCAGTAAGGGAAAGCAGGATGTTTCCACTGATTTCCAAATCATCCCTCGTGGTCAACTAGCGATGGGACTTATTGTAAACAAGCCAAAGTCCTATATGCAGTGGCAGAGTACCGAGATGAAGCAAGCTTTACAAAAACTATTATATTGTAACCATATTTAGAAAGTCAGCGTCACTAAACTTGTATAAAACCAAGACGATCGGCCACCCTTATTCACTCTCTGAACTTGAGTCTGGATCGTCTCCACTCTGGAAACAACTCGACTCTTGTTAGAAGTCGGCTCTGCCTGTACTTAGGCAGATCAACATCTCTCTATTCCTGGGTTTCTCAACAACTTGTACCACATTTATTTTCAATAAATTCTCAAGTTAACCTCCAGCTTGCAGTACTTCGGTCACCCCGAACTGCCTCCCAAGGGATCCGCTCGCCCTGCCAACCTATCCCAGCTCAGGATACAACAGCCCATGCCCCTACCATTTAACACAAGGGATGGGGAAAGTCTAGAAAAATCTCAACAAACTAGTATTCTGTGTTAATATTTATTCCCAGACATGTTGAAGACTAACAGCCAGCTGAAGAGGGAGGGTTGGATATTTGGGAGGTCCGGAACAATTTTCTTCGAGTCCCAGCCGGACACGAACTAGTAGAATATATTATCTGAAGTGTCACTCAGCAGTTCTTTTAATTGTTGTCACCAAAGCACACAATGGCCAACATACGTTGTTGTGTTGTGAATGCATGTGTCTACCCAGTAGCTGATAGCTTTGTTTTCCAAAACATACAGCGTCACTTCCAAAAGTAATGAAATGATGTGTAAGACTAACTCTATTGTTATGGTAGCACAGGCATTGTAAAATGAGTTAGTGTGCCAAAAACAGTATTCTCTTGTAGAACCCCATTTTTGTGCAAACACATCTTGAGTAACAGTAGAAGGGAATAACAACCCAATAACACTATATTCTTTATGTTTCTGATAACATTTATATATTTGTTTATTTTGGTGTTTGTTTAAGCAGCTGTTCTACTCGATTGTTACATCATGTGGAAAGTTCACACAGTGTTAGTACCCAGAAGACCAACATTGACATATTCGCTGCTGTAAGAATCTCAAATCTCAACTTTAATCTGGCTTATGACAGGATACTGGGGTGGGGCTCTTGTTACCATGACAATGAACCCTCAAGTTCCATGAAAGATAGTAAATTTGAGTGATAATGATTTTTCCCTCTTCTGAATTCCTGACATCAACTTCTGGATGTTCAACTGCTTGGTAGAAACTGTTATTTCATACAACAACCAAGTGTTATAGGTGATGTGTCCGGCAGAATGAACCACAGTGTGTACACCACAATACCTTTTTTATGTTGCTAGATCTTTTGTTTCACTGCCGAGCTGCGTTGAACAGGACGCGATCCATCACCGTCATGCTGGCTTACACGTGCTATGTTCACGGTGCCTTGTGACAGCTGACAACAATTTCAATACAAACATGACCTAAATATTTGTAATCACAAATGCTCTGGGCACACATGACGTTCAGGTTGTGGGGTTGGCATTTGTTTTGTTATAAACTTTTCATGGCATTTGTAAGTCCCTTTAGACATGCTGGAATAGTGCCTTAAATAGGCCACATTCTCTTTCTTCCATATTGTTTCCAGTTTATAAATATCTTCACATTTGAATATCGCTGTCATGTTAGATGTTGAACCATGTAGTTTAGCAAACAGTGATAAATGTATCACAGGAGCTTAGTGCCTCAAACTGAACTACACAGTGTTATTGAGAAGCCATCTTCATACTCATAACTGCAAGAACCTGATATCCCATCTTTCCATCTCATACACTCCAGTTGTAATGTTTCCACAGCCTTGTCAGACTAGGATACGTGTGTGATCTCGAAAGTCAAGTGAGAGACACATTCCATTTACTTCATATGGAACCTGTGTGCTTCCAATAGAACATAATAAAATTAAAAGAAATTTGTGGTTTTCATGGCAGTGAAAAGTTGTCAGTGGAACCACGGTTCCGGAGAATTTGACGTAAATACGTCTATACGGAAAGGAAGTTTATATATTCGCTTTGTTCTAAATATTTCCTTTATACATGCTTTACAATTGAGTAAAGTTTGATTAAGACTTTGCTTATTTAACTTGAATTAGTTACGCTTAAGATGGGTCTGTGGTAGCTGAATGTAATGTAAAGTAATGTAATGTAAGGTAAGGTAATGTAACTATGTAGGTAAACATTGTTGTTTACATGTTGATAAACAGATGACGTTTCCTAGGTAACAACAATGAAGTTACACTTTCTCGTAACACATTTTCATTACACATTTTTGCCGAATGACACTGACCCTAAAATATAGACGTATTTACGTCAAAAATTTATGCTCTTCTGGCTTTGTAAGTTGTTTGACCCTGATGATAGAGGCAGTACATTTCTCTGGGATGCTTGTAACTACTTACAAGACTGCACAGCATCACAACCCACAATACAATCTGCGCTGACGCTCGTTCACTGGACAGGAACTAGTTAATTTCAGTATTTGATGTAGGTGGCTTGCTAATGTTGCCCCATTCCCATACAGGGTGACACCCACTGTGCTGCTGGGTAGTGCCTGGCTGCACCCAACACGAGGCTCGGCGGTGCACAGACACTGTGCCACCTTAGAGGTACCAGCAACTTGGTCTTCTGGAGGGAGAGGCTGTCCTGTATTGTGTACAGTTGTTTCACTTATTGAAACAAGTATGTACTTACATTGTCCCTGTGTTACATTTTGTAATATCTCTCTTTTTTTGGTGAGGAATTTAGCAAGCCATTCAACCCCAAAGTTGAAGGACCACCCTTTTTTGGTTTATTGCGACCCCTTGTTCAATATATTTGCAGCTGCCCTCAATATGTGGAGGCCTTCTAGTCCATATACAACCTGAGGATTCACCATGCCGTGGTGAAAATGGTGTGATTCACATTTTCTTTCAGTTCACAGGGCACAAACTTTGAACGTTTAAATATGGGGTGCTGAGGAGAATATTAGGACCTGAGAGGGAGGTCATAAAAAGAGGCTGGAGAAAACTTCGTAATTTGTTTTCTTCATATAATTGGGACTGTGATTATGAGGTGGAAGAGATCTGTGGGATATGTAATGTATAGAATTTTGGTTGTGAATCCTGAAGAGGCCACTTGAATGACCTAATCAGATATGAAGGTTTAAGTATGGCCATCAGTAATCAGTTAACACAAATAAATACATTTCTTTTTAAATTAATATTACAATGTTCTGATTGTAAGACATTTCATGTTTTTTATATATTTCTTAATTTCTCATAGAGTAGTACATCTGTGATAATGCACTTAATGTTAGGATACAAATGATGACTTTCCAGGAACACAGCCCACATGTAAACCAACAAGAGAGCTGTCCAAGTACCTTTTATTGGCACATTGAGAAGCGTGCGTTAATTTCATCATCGCCTGTCTCTCTGCCTGTAACAACTTGGCTCATGCTCAATTGATTATCAAATTATGTGTTAAAATTTCAGTGTGTAGCCATATTAGTTTTCACTGAAATCAGTTGTGATTCAACTGGATCTGTATTTTCAATACTCGGTGCTCAGACGACCTTCTAGGGGCATTTTGGGTGGAGTAACGACATGACTTGTGAATGTTGCACAATATAGTCTGGTAGAAATTGACGAGTGTTTCAGAGGTACTTCCTGATTCTATCATCAGGGTAACAGTGGCGGCAATAGGCGCCTCTTAAAAATGTCTATAGATTTCTTCCAGACTACACCCGGAACACTGTCATGTTTATACTCACTGCTATGAGAAACCAGGAAACTTGCAAATAGAATATAATTAAATTAGTGAAATCAGACAAGACAAAGGAGCAAAGTCATTAATGTAACATAAGTAGCACAGCGTAGTCTGACAGATATAGCTATAAGGACAGTAGCCACGAGATTACACGGAGCTACAACATGGAAGCTAATCATCTCTAAGTTATTGATAATTTTCATTTTAGCATGTATTGCTCCGCAGTAATTTTTATTTTACCTTCAGGCCTTGACCGTGGTGGGTATTAACAACTATTGGTCCAGATAATGCAGGAACACAAGGAGTAATTCAGTTACACAAAATTATTTTAATTTATTTTAGATATAGATTATATACAATGTATAACTTGAATTATACACCAACAACTTTGGGGGTACAAAGCTGAAGAGAAATTATATCTGGGGGTACACGAACAAAAAAGGTTGAATACCACTGGCCTATATCACAGAAATTAATCTTAGTTTTAGGTTCAAATGATAAAAGTGGAAATCTGAATTCTGCAGGCTTCCATGACATTAAGTAATTAGTAACAGCAGCACTGCACTGAAGGAGATTAAAAAGTGATAGTGGAACCACGGTTCAGGAGAATTTGACGTAAACACGTCTATACGGAAAGGAAGTTTATATATTGGCTTTATTCTAAATATTTCCTTTATACATGCTTTACAATTGAGATAAGTTTCATTAAGACTATGCTTATTTAACTTCAATTAGTTACGCTTAAGATGATTCTGTGGTAGCTGAATGTAATGTAATGTAATGTTTCCTAGGTAACATAACAACGAAGTTACACTTTTTCGTTTCCCTTTTTCGTAACACATTTTTGCCGAATGACACTGACCCTAAAATATAGACGTATATACGTCAAAAAACAGCAGTGATTATATAAACTACAAACCTTATAATATCTCTCAAATTTATGTATTAGTTTGCTGAAACTTTCGAGCTTTTAATAATTACAGGGGATGCCAGGAGTCTATCCCGAACAAGATGAATCAGTCCATACCCACAATAATATTTTCCTAATACTCATTTACTATTATCCATATGTTTTCCGGTTAGCCTGTTCCCTTCAGCCTTTCCAACTAATATTTATCCACATTTCTCATGTACACCACATGCCCTGTCCATCTCATCCTCCATGCTTTGATTATTCTAATAATTAGGGACCAATTCAAATATCTTTTGTGTCCGAGCACTGAATGTACGATGCGTCCGTGTTTGGTGACAGGAAGCCCCTCATTTCTGTAACGACTTAAATTTCTCAAATGTGCTAATCTTGCAGCACGAATATAATCCTTTTCAATGAAAATAGTATATTTTCCGATTTCATCGACCTGAAGCTTAAATCTCTAATTATTTTCCACCACTAAAGTTGATATTTTTCTTGAGTACAGGTAACAACGTTTAAATTAGTCATATATTCTTGGAATAACACACTTATCAGAATCAATGACCGCTACTTTAATATGTTCAAACTGTTTTAAAATGCGTTTCAGCCCACTTAAGGACACCAGTAGCTTCATAAATGCAATTTCGTATTTTATTAACGTTAATCATCTTGCCGCTGTCAACTTTCTTCATAAAACTGTAAACACATAACCATTTCTCTACTCTGCTTGTAAATTACGTCACGTGAACATTCTTTACACATCTGCCCTCGCCTTGTATTCTGTTTACGCTTAATAGAAGCAACAGAGAAAATTACAGGTCTTGTTTTAAACGGGCCACTGTTATTTTGAAACATAGCTCAACACGATTTTGAATTGGTCTCGTCATTAAAGGCAATGAGATCCGATTTAGCACGCTTCTACCTCCTGTTTTCATCAAGCGGCCATAGCTGATTTCCTCAGAACAACCACTACTGCCCTCTTTTAGCTGGTTTGCGATTTAATACAGCATTAGTAGCAGGGCTAGTAGTTCCTACAGCAACGAACATAAACATGAAACAGAGGGCACCATTGTTGAGTTTCAAAGAATAGCAGCTGGGTTGTTTGCGTTTCCAGAGTTATGTTAATAAACAAACGTAAGCGAAGGAAGACGGCAGGATTCGTGTCAACAAAATTGTTTCTGTTTCTAAAAGGAATTCTTTGTGGTTTGGAATAAATTTGTGGGCGAAATGATCGCAGATACAGCTGATGAAAATAAATACGGAGAAATTTTGCGGCCTGACGTACGACTGGACGACAGATTTTGTACTGAGCAGGTAAGCTTCCTATTCTAATACCATACTATAGGTTTTCACATGTTCAGAAACTCTGCAATCTGTTCGTAGCTGACAAAACATATGTGGTATAACGTTTTATCCATCATCCACAGACGATGTAAAAACGAAAGTATCTCTCTTTAACACTTGACTTATTCCTTAAAATGGAAACAATTGCAATCCACTTCACGTATTTTCCAGTTTTCACTAAAGCGCATAAACGTTTCACTTCTTGTCTTAACTCATTAGTCTGTCTGGTGAAAACTGATTAACATAGATTCAGATGGCCTTATCTTTGCATTGCAGGTTGCCAAGTAAATGCATTGTATAACACATCATTTCTTCAAATGTCTCAAAACCAATTAATTTTAATGGGGAAATTATTCGCAAGAGAAAGCGTCTGTGTTATTAAATAAATTGCAAGTAATTCGCAAACAGAAGTCAAAGCACCAGAAACATTGTTCACAACTGATATTCCAAGCACACTTCGCTTGGACGACTGTACTCTTTCATAGTGATTTATAGTTTACCTAAGTCGAAATAAATAGTAAACGTAGAAACTGCTAATTTCAATCTATTCCAAATCCCTGCATGTATGGTTGGCGTTAATTTTAAACCTGTAGTTCCAACCTCTGGAACGAATCGGTGCGGTCCGGCCATTCACGACTGCTGGCCATGCTCACAGATAATATTCTGTGCCTGCACTTCCGGACCGTGACGATCCAAGGCGTGTGTACTCGTTTGTGTTTGTGGGTTAGTGAGATCATGGGCAGGTGACCATTGAATAGAATTCTGGCTCATGAAAAGTTTTTTTTATTGTTTCAAGGAGCCGCCGTGTGTATTAGCTTACATATCGCGAAGTTGTGTGTATCAAAGTTGTTACCCTATATCGCTAATGGCGCTGTTGCTGTTCCAACAACACATGTTCGTGCGTCCGGCTTGTTTATACCGCATTTATATGTTTATTCGTGGTTTATTTAACGAAGCAGACAGTAACTCGGACTGTAATATAACAAAAATAAATAGCGGTATTATAATAATAAAGTCCATCACTCTATCAGGAGCATAGGTATAATATAATTATAATAAAAAAATTGACAGTGGAACCACGGTTCCGGAGGATCTGACGTACTACGTCTTGGTATTTAAATTATATTTAAGCAATAAATACAATGAAAGGAAGTTTATATATTAGGTTTATTCTCAATATTTCCTTTATACATGCTTTACAATTGAGTAAATCGTTTGATTAAGACATTGCTTATTTAACTTGAATTAGTTACGCTTAAGATGGGCCTGTGGTAGCTGAAATATGTTATAAAATTTGTGCACTTTAGAGTATCAACATTTCGTGCAAACACCATATCTATACAAAATTTTGATGTAGTAATACTACATTGAGGATTTGACATCAACATTAAACCAAACGTTTCCCCCATAAATGTGACAAAGCTTTGATTTTCTTTCTTCTTTAAATGAATGTTAAAATCTCCTGCCAATATTATGGGCATTATTTTACGACCTTCTTTGTGATGGTCTTCTTGTTTACAGTTGTTAGTAGTAATTACAACAATGTAACAAGTGCAGTTGCTGAAATAAACATACTACAATGGAACAGATGAAACAGTCCCAAATAAACTTCGCCTCATTAGTTTAATTCATAAACAGGTGGAGTTGAAGGTCGGTTGTAAAATTTGTGCTTGCATTTCGAAACATGTCAACGAGATGTGAAACTTGCCTGCAAGCACAAGGAAGTCACTTTGAACAGCTTTTGTGATTTAAGGCAAGAACAATCAATGCAATAACATGTATCAGTGACGAGAAACACTCACTGCTTGCTGTCACTAGTGGCACCGAAACTGATTCGCCCGTGACTCACGCGTAAAAGTCCCGCCCACGTCAACAGATCGCCGGCCGACCACACAATACAAGCATGCCCCGGTATATGAGAATGGCTGTTCTGTGGCATAGAAACAAAATGGTAATCTGCCTGACTGATAGTACATATCCTAACATAAAATATTTATGTGTATAAACCATCTCGAAGTTTGATAATTGTCCAATGTTTATCAAACAATTTAGTTGCAGATGACATCTGTAATACTTGTTTTGTTCCTATTGCTGCAGAATGAGAAGGAAAAACTGGAGGGATGCTTAGTGCAGGTAACTGAAGATCTCGTTTGTGAACGACAACAGAGACGAGAGTTGGAATATCTTGTTTTCAGTCAGAAAGCAACAATTTCTGAGTTGCTGGAGGATGAAGGACAGAGCCTATATGAAGGGAGTGAAGTGAGGGATCAGCTGGAGGCATTCGTTCTGCTCAGCCAAGAGCTGTACACTCAAGCTCAGGAGCTTATTAAATTCCTCACTCATTCTGAGGAAACCTATCGCAATCAGGCAGCTGAGGTGAGCACGGGTTTCTGTGTGAATTAAATATTCAGTTTTAAAATTTAACCCATTGATGCAGCAGAGATTTGCTCTCCGCGTTTAACCCATTGATGCAGCAGAGATTTGAGTTTGGTCAAAAGCATTTTTACTCAATATTCACATATTCAACTGTATTCAGAAAATATTTGTTTCTAAGCCCGATAAGTAGTTTCTTCCATGGAACCTAGTCCTTCGTGAGAAGACAATAGTCACTTGGCTGATTCCAGAATTTCCTTGCCTTTTATGGGTTCTGAAGTATCAGTAGACAATTACTGGACCCTCTCTCAATGTAGATAAATCCAATTTACAAGCACAATATTTTTCAAATGTTCATCAAAATATGATATAAATTTTTAATGCCTTGTTAAGCGTCGGCAGTAGAAAAGACAGGTAATGTCACTTTTTGTTAAGTGAACATACTTTCTGTATGAGATAGTTCTGTAAGTGTTTGCCAAAGGTGAGTAACTGTCTTGTTTTATGGGAAATATATGTTGTGCAAAGGGGCACGCTAAGTTAGAAAACCAATTATCTTATATCCAGTCACATACGTAAGCATTCTAGTGTGTTATTTTAATATTATTTTGTAATTTCCGCCTTCAACACACTTAACTGTTGTTAATGCTTTAATTTTGGCTATTTGCTTTTATGTTAATATAACCTTAGGTCATTTTTCTATATTGTTCCAAGTAAGTGTTAAGTGTGAATTAAAATTACAATTAAAATGAGTGTTACAAACTGGCATACATTTGAGGTTGAAGTAAAATTGAAATTACACGAGCATGGGAAGTGTACATAACCAAACTTTGATAATTGAAGTAAACAAAATAAACCTAAACTTGACTTACATAAATTAAACTATCCTGTTCAAATGTAATATAACCTAATCCAAACTAACCTCACAGGATATTGTGTAAAATAATCGAGCCACATTCGTGGTTATTTGTAATTGTCAATATTTCAGTTCTTAATGATTTTGAAATTTGTGAAACTTAAAATTTCTCAAAATTTCATATTGTGAACGATTTAATGAACAATTTTCAAATCTACTATGTTTTCAAAATTTGTAAACACCAACAACTTTATAATTTTTGTATTTTTCTAAATTCCAAAATTCAGATTTTAAAATTTCACAACTCACATATTCGATAACCCAACATTTAACATTCAGGAAATACCTGTGAATTTATTCAATTTTCTGAAACTCTTCTTTTGAGTGATTTTTAGTGTGCAGGATGAAGAGAATAATTCATATTCTAAAGTTCTACTGCACCTATTTATTGATTCTCAGCTTCAGCTTTTACCCACATGAGCAGGTAACTGCTTTAACTTTACCACATTTATGTTAATTGCTAACCCTCAATACTCGATTTCATAATCATATTTAGAGATATCCAAAGTACCGGGTCTACAATTTATGCTGTAACGGCCTTGCTTGCATTGCGTGCTTGGCCGAGTGCACTGTTGGTGTGGGATAGAGATAACGTGTTATTCCCGTGAGTCACAGGCGAATCAGTTTCAGTGCCGCTAGTAACAGCAAACTACGAATATTTCTCGATACTAATACATGTTATTACATTAATTGTTCTTACCTTAAATCACAAAAGATGTTCAAAGTGACTTCCTTGTGCTTGCAGGCAAGCACCAGTGTCAGGATTTGTGAGTCTCTGAACAACAGTGGTCTTACATGATCGCAATTTCAGAAGTCTCGTTGCTGTGTGAGCAGATCCCAATGACACGCCAGATTGTGCAGCTAAACGTGCCAAAGATTTCCTTGGACTTTTTTCTAAGAAAGCCCCAATTTCATCCAATTTCTCTTCCGTCAATACACTCCGTTTCCTGTTCTTCTTTTTATCCAAAACTGATCCCGTACTACGAAATTTTTTTATTAATCTCTCTATCGTGGGCCTGCTAGGAACACTTTCACCGGGAAAATGTCTGCGATATTTACGGCGGCATCTTCCGTAGGATGAATATTTGGCATATGTTTCGACTAAGAACACACGTTGCTTAATACTGTACACCATATTATCAACGTCAATCCGCGACTTTTTGTTCTTTTGTAGGGGTTTGTTATGTAGTGATGCTTGTACAATTTTAGTAAATTGTGACAAAATCATCCCCCATTGCCTCCCAGTTCTTGTTTCTTAAATTCCTCTGTTGTTAATGCAACCAGAAGAATGTTCTATAAGTACCAATTGCTGTCCCACATACGAGTTTTGAATAGGTCTTGTCTGAGATGGGTTTGCATATAAATTATTTACCACTCTTTTTACACAAACGTTACCATTCTTTGTGTGGTCTGTTGCTTTGAGTAAAGAGGGAACAAGTCACACATTGATGATCATCTTGAGATTCCACCTTTTTTCGCTTGGTCACACGCTCGTTTAACATTTATAAGTTAGGCGGCCATTCATCTACTTTTTGGAAGTCATAGAGGGCCTGTAGCTGGCTGTGTTTGTTCACCCACTTGCCACAGGCAGAGGTGGGCGTGGTGCGGTGCTTATTCTTAGTCTAAGTGTCTTGAACATTTTATGAAGGGACGTTACTGCATCCTTCAGTTACTGTTACAGAATTTCAAGTTGTGAAATGTTCTGAGTTGCCAGATGAAATTTTTTTTAAAAAAAAATTGTTATTGTTTTATGTGTGAATGTGTGGAAGCTGGCCAGTGAACCAAAAAGCTAACTAAATCATATTCTTGGGAAACCATAAGACAATTTTCCCTGCTAGGTTAGACCATTTTCATGTACAAAATGCATAGCAGAAAATTGTAAATGATTTCTTATATACTGTAAACAAGGTTGTGCATATGCTAGTAGAGATTTTTGCTATAGCAGAAGGCCCTGGCATATTAAAATTTTGCGCTATTTCTTCTGGTGGGTGATTGTCCCATCAGGGAACTTGTCCTTTATGAAAGGAACTTTGGTTTGGTGGATGTGAAGGAGCTGCACTCAGAACGATTTGAATCACTTTAGTATATGACCTACGCGTCTTGTGGGGGTGAGGGGAATTACATTGGCTGTTTTTTTCTGGAAGTCTTGTATATGAGTGACAGCAGGTGACTAGTAGGATTTGATGGTGCTGATTAATAAAGCTGCCTACAAGTGGAAGAAGAATATGTTGTTGCTGATGAGAAGTGATTAAAAAACATGGGGGGGGGGAGTGTGGTGATGAAAAGAGATGACAGGTGACCCATGTTAACTGAGAAGAATTTGTAGCTCTTTTATGTAAAGAATAAAGGTGATTTTTTATCACAACGTTTAAAGATGTCATGGTTTGAAAATTAACCTTTTCGGGGATGTTTATGAGTACGTGAACTCTTGTCCGTCAAATACAATTACATGTAGGTGGCTGTCTTGTGGGCTGTTGTATCTCTTCACCAGCATTTCAGGGTGCTTGTTCGCTCCATCATGAGGGTAACCTGTTGATAGCGGCAGAAAGCACCTCTGAAATGTCAATAAACCTCTACCAGAGTATAGAGTGCAACAGCCAAGAACAAAGACACCCATCCTCATACTCATTTTGGTGATACAATAAATTACGTGTCTTCATACAGAGCTGTGATTTCTTCTTTGTAAAATCGTGAATGACCTTCACTTTTCATCTGCCAAATTTCAAAACAGTGACCTTAGAAACTATTTTATACCAAATGACGACAGAAACCTTCTTGTTTCCTGAAGATGTTCATTCCCAACATGTCCATTGAGTTTGCAGCAAGAAGAATGATGAGATATTGGAATTATGTTAATATATTATCAGTGTAAATTCATTTTCTTTGACTCTTTGTGTTCATTACTTCTTTGTTTCGTAGTTGAATATTCATCAAGGTAGCAATACACTTGAGAGGCAGATGACATCTGTAATAATTGTTTTGTTACTATAGCTGCAGAATGAGAAGGGAAAACTGGAGGGACGCTTAGTGCAGCTGACTCAAGATCTCGTTTGTGAACGACAACAGAGACGAGAGTTGGAAGATCTTGTTTTCAGTCAGAGAGCAACAATTTCTGAGTTGCTGGAGGAGAAAGAACAGAGCCTGAATAATGGGAGTGAAGTGAGGGATCAGCTGAAGGCGTGCATTCTGCTCAACCAAGGGTTCAAAGCTCAAGTTCAGGAGTTTATGAAAGTCATCACTCATTGTGAGGAAACCCATTGCAATCAGACAGCTGAGGTGAGCACGGGTTTCTGTATGTATTAAATATTCAGTTTTTACCTTTGCTTACGGATGAACGTATAAATTCGTGAGGCATTTAAATACCCTATAGAGGATGTCGGTGCAGTGTACGGGCGGCTGCAAGCTTAATTTTTGTAGCCCATAAGTATTTAACGAATAACTCCAGCGCAATGCGGTTTGCACTGGTTTGTTCTGAAAAGATAACTGTATGTGGACATATGACAACACCGCCACATTCCATTGAGCTCTACCTAGGAATCTAAAAATAATATCCTGACCTTCTCATTCTCATCATGGATGTCCCTTCGTCTAGTCACATACTTACAGAAGCAGAAAGACGTGCACTTCTAGAAGAAGTTTTGGATGAAAGTGACTGTGAGTATAGTTCGGACACCGACAGTGCAATAATAGACATTGATTATACACAGTTGGTGACAACTGGAGATAGTGATAATGAGAGTGACAATGGTGGTGGCGGTGAAATACAGGAGGAAATCTTCGAGGCAGAATCTGGTGTTGTTTCCAGCAAGTTTTTGTGGAAAAATATAAAATCCTTTACTGCTTCGAGAGACGAATTTTGTAATGTACATGGTCCCCAGTTCGACACTGCTGAACTAGATGTCGTGACTTCATTTGAAAATATTTTTGATATAGCTCTAGTAAAGCTCATTGTTGAAGAACCCAACAGGTATGCTCAGTAGGAAATTTCTAAAAGTGCCCATCCTCTCACATTTCGCTCTAGGATTAGGAAGTGGCAAGATGTTACAGTGGACGAAATTTACGTGGTTTTGGCTCTATTTATGTTGATGGGCATTGTGCAGAAGCCTACACTTAGATCTTACTATTCAAAGAACCGGCTGCAGTACACTCCGTTCTTTTCTGAAACTTTACCTCTGGAAAGACTAGAGCTAATTACCAAATTTATGCATTTTGCAGATAACAGTAAGCAAAATGAATATCACGGACCTCCCAAACTTTTCAAAATTTATCCAGTCATTCAGCACCTAAATAACAAGTTTCAAAATTTGTATCTTCCATCCCAGAACATTGCGATAGACGAGTCCTTGACTCTATGGAAAGGTCGTTTGTCCTTCAGACAATACATACCCCTCAAGGCTGCTAAATTTGGCATAAAAACGTATGAACTCTGCGAGTCTAGTTCTGGCTATGTTTGGTCTTTTCTCGTGTATACTGGAAAAGGCATGGAACTGTCGAATCGGTTTGTGACTGCAGAAACAAATAAAACTGCAGCAATTGTACATTTTAATATAACCTTAGGTCCTTTTTCTATATTGTTCCAAGTAAGTGCTAAGTGTGAATCAAAATTACAATTAAAATGAGTGTTACAAACTGGCATACATTTGAGGTTGGAGTAAAATTGAAATTACACGAGCATGGAAAGTGTATTCCATGCTAAAATATATATAATGTTCTCATGCATTCTTTGCTATACAGCATAGATTAAAATATAATAACCTAAAGTCACCTTACCTAATCAGACTGTACTTCTTCTAAATGAAGCTAACCATTTCCAATCTAATCTAATTTCTTACAAAACCTGACTTAAAAAAATCTATCGCCTAACCTAACCTAACATTTATATCTGAAAGTAAACAAAATAAACCTAAACTTTTCTTAACATAAATTATACTATCCTATACAAATATAGCATAACCTAATTAAACCTGACCCCACAGGATATTGTGTGAAATAATCCAGCCACACTCCTGGACATTTATAATTGTCAATATTTCAATTTTCATCATTTAAAAATTTATAAAACTTAAGATTTCTCAAAATCCCATTCTGTAATCAATTTTCAAATTCATTTTATTTTCAAAATTTGTAAACACAAACAATTTTAAAATTTTTGAAGTATTTTAAAATTTCACAATTCCCATATTTGGAAGCCCAACATTTAACATTCAGGGAATACCTGCAAATTAAATTCCATTTTCTGAAATCCTTCCTTTGAGTGGTTTGCCAGGTCCAGGATGAAGGGAATAAGTCACACCTAGGTCATACTTTCAAGTTTTTAGCCTTGTTAATTCTGTCTTATATGGTAATATCCTGCTAGTAAATTGGTTAGCTATTTGGATATTATTAAAAAAATATATGCAGAACCAGTAGCAGGTTCTAGAGTTATGTCTTGCTCTCTCACCAGAGGCAGAGATGTGTACGTGTTTAGGCTCAGTCAAAGCATGCTAAATATTTCATGAACAGACACTTTTGGAATTTTGAGTTATTGTTGCAGAATTTTAAGTTGTGAAATAATTTCAGCTTCAAGATAAAATTTTCAGGATATGCTTTTAGAAATTGATTGTTTGAATACTATGATAATATGGTCAACTTTATTTTTAGAAGTTTCTAGAATGTTTACACTACATTTTGGGAGCCATTTTCTACAGTTCTTCCAAACTAACATGCTTTGTGTGTTCCAGTTAAATATAGTGCAACAAAATCTGTTACATGAATTAAATGGATAGAAATTGGTTTCTCAAGAGGCTTTATGTTGCAATGGATAGATGGAGGGAAGAGTTTAGCAGAGGAGCATATTTCATCCTGGTGTTTTTGTTTGAACAGGGAGAAAAAACAGTGAAGCCAGTGGCCTGTGCTACTGAGTCAGGCGTCGCCATCAACAATGAGGTCTCGGTAAATTTTCCTTCTCAATTGCTGCCTGCTGCGCCCACTCCTGTGGTGTCAGCCCCCACTCCTCTGGTGTCAGCCCCCACTCCTCTGCTATCAGCCCCCACTCCCAACATGCCACAAGCTACAAATCCTGTTGAGGCAGAGGCACTACATTGTCTTGGACATTATCTCATGTTACCTGTACGAACTAAGACGGAAAAGAACAGACAGAAGAGAACGAGATATAAGATGAACAAGAGGATGAAGAAAGCAGCTGAGGTCTGGAGACATTTTAATAGTATGAGATTCACATAAATAAGATTATTGCAAATAACAGCGACTGACATGAGATGGTTATTTCTTCCGTCTCTTTGAAAGACAGAAGGAAAAAGACAATATTTAGAGTACTTTTATGTGATGACAGAATGGTGATATATTCTACAGTTCTAGGAATCATGTTAGTGTCCCTATTTATTGATTCTCAGCTTCAGCTTTCACCCACATGAGCAGGTAACTGCTTTAACTTTACCACATTTATGTTAATTACTAATCCTCAGTACTCGATTTCATAATCATATTTAGAGATATCCAAAGTATAAATAAATACCAAAAAATCCACCCCCACTAATTTTCCTTTGTGTATTAATTTGACTTTTATAGAAAAGAATTTTTGTTCTTTTGTAGGGGTTTGTTATGTAGTGATGCTTGTACAATTTTAGTAAATTGTGACAAAATCATCCCCCATTGCCTCCCAGTTCTTGTTTCTTAAATTCCTCTGTTGTTAATGCAACCAGAAGAATGTTCTATAAGTACCAATTGCTGTCCCACATACGAGTTTTGAATAGGTCTTGTCTGAGATGGGTTTGCATATAAATTATTTACCACTCTTTTTACACAAACGTTACCATTCTTTGTGTGGTCTGTTGCTTTGAGTAAAGAGGGAACAAGTCACACATTGATGATCATCTTGAGATTCCACCTTTTTTCGCTTGGTCACACGCTCGTTTAACATTTATAAGTTAGGCGGCCATTCATCTACTTTTTGGAAGTCATAGAGGGCCTGTAGCTGGCTGTGTTTGTTCACCCACTTGCCACAGGCAGAGGTGGGCGTGGTGCGGTGCTTATTCTTAGTCTAAGTGTCTTGAACATTTTATGAAGGGACGTTACTGCATCCTTCAGTTACTGTTACAGAATTTCAAGTTGTGAAATGTTTTGAGTTGCCAGATGAAATTTTTTTTAAAAAAAATTGTTATTGTTTTATGTGTGAATGTGTGGAAGCTGGCCAGTGAACCAAAAAGCTAACTAAATCATATTCTTGGGAAACCATAAGACAATTTTCCCTGCTAGGTTAGACCATTTTCATGTACAAAATGCATAGCAGAAAATTGTAAATGATTTCTTATATACTGTAAACAAGGTTGTGCATATGCTAGTAGAGATTTTTGCTATAGCAGAAGGCCCTGGCATATTAAAATTTTGCGCTATTTCTTCTGGTGGGTGATTGTCCCATCAGGGAACTTGTCCTGGTGTTTTTGTTTGAACAGGGAGAAAAAACATCAGTGAAGCCGGTGGCCTGTGCTACTGAGTCAGGCGTCACCATCAACAATGAGGTCTCGGTAAATTTTCCTTCTCCATTGCTGGCTGCTGCCCCCATTCCTGTGGTGTCAGCCCCCACTCCTGTGGTGCCAGCCCCCACTCCCAACATGCCACAAGCTACAAATCTTGATGAGGCAGAGGCACTACGTCTTCTTGCACGTTATCTCATGTTACCTGTACGAACTAAGACGGAAAAGAACAGACAGAAGAGAACGAGATATAAGATGAACAAGAGGATGAAGAAAGCAGCTGAGGTCTGGAGACATTTTAATAGTATGAGATTCACATAAATAAGATTATTGCAAATAACAGCGACTGACATGAGATGGTTATTTCTTCCGTCTCTTTGAAAGACAGAAGGAAAAAGACAATATTTAGAGTACTTTTATGTGATGACAGAATGGTGATATATTCTACAGTTCTAGGAATCATGTTAGTGTCCCTATTTATTGATTCTCAGCTTCAGCTTTCACCCACATGAGCAGGTAACTGCTTTAACTTTACCACATTTATGTTAATTACTAATCCTCAGTACTCGATTTCATAATCATATTTAGAGATATCCAAAGTATAAATAAATACCAAAAAATCCACCCCCACTAATTTTCCTTTGTGTATTAATTTGACTTTTATAGAAAAGAATTTTTGTTCTTTTGTAGGGGTTTGTTATGTAGTGATGCTTGTACAATTTTAGTAAATTGTGACAAAATCATCCCCCATTGCCTCCCAGTTCTTGTTTCTTAAATTCCTCTGTTGTTAATGCAACCAGAAGAATGTTCTATAAGTACCAATTGCTGTCCCACATACGAGTTTTGAATAGGTCTTGTCTGAGATGGGTTTGCATATAAATTATTTACCACTCTTTTTACACAAACGTTACCATTCTTTGTGTGGTCTGTTGCTTTGAGTAAAGAGGGAACAAGTCACACATTGATGATCATCTTGAGATTCCACCTTTTTTCGCTTGGTCACACGCTCGTTTAACATTTATAAGTTAGGCGGCCATTCATCTACTTTTTGGAAGTCATAGAGGGCCTGTAGCTGGCTGTGTTTGTTCACCCACTTGCCACAGGCAGAGGTGGGCGTGGTGCGGTGCTTATTCTTAGTCTAAGTGTCTTGAACATTTTATGAAGGGACGTTACTGCATCCTTCAGTTACTGTTACAGAATTTCAAGTTGTGAAATGTTTTGAGTTGCCAGATGAAATTTTCAAGGTTCACATTTAGACAATGAACATTTACATTCTATGATATGGTAAAACTCATTTACTTAAGTTCCTGTAACACTTGAAGTATATTTTTGCAGCCATACCATAGAGTGTTTCCAAATTCACTTATGTTGTTTGTTTCAGTTTAACACACTAACAAAATTTGGGGCATCATTGAATATTTTCAGATACTTATATAATGGGCTTTATGTTGTATTTGATAGAGTCAGGGAAGTGAGAGTTTAGCAGAGGAGCATATTTCATCCTGGTGTTTTTGTTTGAACAGGGAGAAAAAACAGTGAAGCCAGTGGCCTGTGCTACTGAGTCAGGCGTCGCCATCAACAATGAGGTCTCGGTAAATTTTCCTTCTCAATTGCTGCCTGCTGCGCCCACTCCTGTGGTGTCAGCCCCCACTCCTCTGGTGTCAGCCCCCACTCCTCTGCTATCAGCCCCCACTCCCAACATGCCACAAGCTACAAATCCTGTTGAGGCAGAGGCACTACATTGTCTTGGACATTATCTCATGTTACCTGTACGAACTAAGACGGAAAAGAACAGACAGAAGAGAACGAGATATAAGATGAACAAGAGGATGAAGAAAGCAGCTGAGGTCTGGAGACATTTTAATAGTATGAGATTCACATAAATAAGATTATTGCAAATAACAGCGACTGACATGAGATGGTTATTTCTTCCGTCTCTTTGAAAGACAGAAGGAAAAAGACAATATTTAGAGTACTTTTATGTGATGACAGAATGGTGATATATTCTACAGTTCTAGGAATCATGTTAGTGTCCCTATTTATTGATTCTCAGCTTCAGCTTTCACCCACATGAGCAGGTAACTGCTTTAACTTTACCACATTTATGTTAATTACTAATCCTCAGTACTCGATTTCATAATCATATTTAGAGATATCCAAAGTATAAATAAATACCAAAAAATCCACCCCCACTAATTTTCCTTTGTGTATTAATTTGACTTTTATAGAAAAGAATTTTTGTTCTTTTGTAGGGGTTTGTTATGTAGTGATGCTTGTACAATTTTAGTAAATTGTGACAAAATCATCCCCCATTGCCTCCCAGTTCTTGTTTCTTAAATTCCTCTGTTGTTAATGCAACCAGAAGAATGTTCTATAAGTACCAATTGCTGTCCCACATACGAGTTTTGAATAGGTCTTGTCTGAGATGGGTTTGCATATAAATTATTTACCACTCTTTTTACACAAACGTTACCATTCTTTGTGTGGTCTGTTGCTTTGAGTAAAGAGGGAACAAGTCACACATTGATGATCATCTTGAGATTCCACCTTTTTTCGCTTGGTCACACGCTCGTTTAACATTTATAAGTTAGGCGGCCATTCATCTACTTTTTGGAAGTCATAGAGGGCCTGTAGCTGGCTGTGTTTGTTCACCCACTTGCCACAGGCAGAGGTGGGCGTGGTGCGGTGCTTATTCTTAGTCTAAGTGTCTTGAACATTTTATGAAGGGACGTTACTGCATCCTTCAGTTACTGTTACAGAATTTCAAGTTGTGAAATGTTTTGAGTTGCCAGATGAAATTTTCAAGGTTCACATTTAGACAATGAACATTTACATTCTATGATATGGTAAAACTCATTTACTTAAGTTCCTGTAACACTTGAAGTATATTTTTGCAGCCATACCATAGAGTGTTTCCAAATTCACTTATGTTGTTTGTTTCAGTTTAACACACTAACAAAATTTGGGGCATCATTGAATATTTTCAGATACTTATATAATGGGCTTTATGTTGTATTTGATAGAGTCAGGGAAGTGAGAGTTTAGCAGAGGAGCATATTTCATCCTGGTGTTTTTGTTTGAACAGGGAGAAAAAACAGTGAAGCCAGTGGCCTGTGCTACTGAGTCAGGCGTCGCCATCAACAATGAGGTCTCGGTAAATTTTCCTTCTCAATTGCTGCCTGCTGCGCCCACTCCTGTGGTGTCAGCCCCCACTCCTCTGGTGTCAGCCCCCACTCCTCTGCTATCAGCCCCCACTCCCAACATGCCACAAGCTACAAATCCTGTTGAGGCAGAGGCACTACATTGTCTTGGACATTATCTCATGTTACCTGTACGAACTAAGACGGAAAAGAACAGACAGAAGAGAACGAGATATAAGATGAACAAGAGGATGAAGAAAGCAGCTGAGGTCTGGAGACATTTTAATAGTATGAGATTCACATAAATAAGATTATTGCAAATAACAGCGACTGACATGAGATGGTTATTTCTTCCGTCTCTTTGAAAGACAGAAGGAAAAAGACAATATTTAGAGTACTTTTATGTGATGACAGAATGGTGATATATTCTACAGTTCTAGGAATCATGTTAGTGTCCCTATTTATTGATTCTCAGCTTCAGCTTTCACCCACATGAGCAGGTAACTGCTTTAACTTTACCACATTTATGTTAATTACTAATCCTCAGTACTCGATTTCATAATCATATTTAGAGATATCCAAAGTATAAATAAATACCAAAAAATCCACCCCCACTAATTTTCCTTTGTGTATTAATTTGACTTTTATAGAAAAGAATTTTTGTTCTTTTGTAGGGGTTTGTTATGTAGTGATGCTTGTACAATTTTAGTAAATTGTGACAAAATCATCCCCCATTGCCTCCCAGTTCTTGTTTCTTAAATTCCTCTGTTGTTAATGCAACCAGAAGAATGTTCTATAAGTACCAATTGCTGTCCCACATACGAGTTTTGAATAGGTCTTGTCTGAGATGGGTTTGCATATAAATTATTTACCACTCTTTTTACACAAACGTTACCATTCTTTGTGTGGTCTGTTGCTTTGAGTAAAGAGGGAACAAGTCACACATTGATGATCATCTTGAGATTCCACCTTTTTTCGCTTGGTCACACGCTCGTTTAACATTTATAAGTTAGGCGGCCATTCATCTACTTTTTGGAAGTCATAGAGGGCCTGTAGCTGGCTGTGTTTGTTCACCCACTTGCCACAGGCAGAGGTGGGCGTGGTGCGGTGCTTATTCTTAGTCTAAGTGTCTTGAACATTTTATGAAGGGACGTTACTGCATCCTTCAGTTACTGTTACAGAATTTCAAGTTGTGAAATGTTTTGAGTTGCCAGATGAAATTTTCAAGGTTCACATTTAGACAATGAACATTTACATTCTATGATATGGTAAAACTCATTTACTTAAGTTCCTGTAACACTTGAAGTATATTTTTGCAGCCATACCATAGAGTGTTTCCAAATTCACTTATGTTGTTTGTTTCAGTTTAACACACTAACAAAATTTGGGGCATCATTGAATATTTTCAGATACTTATATAATGGGCTTTATGTTGTATTTGATAGAGTCAGGGAAGTGAGAGTTTAGCAGAGGAGCATATTTCATCCTGGTGTTTTTGTTTGAACAGGGAGAAAAAACAGTGAAGCCAGTGGCCTGTGCTACTGAGTCAGGCGTCGCCATCAACAATGAGGTCTCGGTAAATTTTCCTTCTCAATTGCTGCCTGCTGCGCCCACTCCTGTGGTGTCAGCCCCCACTCCTCTGGTGTCAGCCCCCACTCCTCTGCTATCAGCCCCCACTCCCAACATGCCACAAGCTACAAATCCTGTTGAGGCAGAGGCACTACATTGTCTTGGACATTATCTCATGTTACCTGTACGAACTAAGACGGAAAAGAACAGACAGAAGAGAACGAGATATAAGATGAACAAGAGGATGAAGAAAGCAGCTGAGGTCTGGAGACATTTTAATAGTATGAGATTCACATAAATAAGATTATTGCAAATAACAGCGACTGACATGAGATGGTTATTTCTTCCGTCTCTTTGAAAGACAGAAGGAAAAAGACAATATTTAGAGTACTTTTATGTGATGACAGAATGGTGATATATTCTACAGTTCTAGGAATCATGTTAGTGTCCCTATTTATTGATTCTCAGCTTCAGCTTTCACCCACATGAGCAGGTAACTGCTTTAACTTTACCACATTTATGTTAATTACTAATCCTCAGTACTCGATTTCATAATCATATTTAGAGATATCCAAAGTATAAATAAATACCAAAAAATCCACCCCCACTAATTTTCCTTTGTGTATTAATTTGACTTTTATAGAAAAGAATTTTTGTTCTTTTGTAGGGGTTTGTTATGTAGTGATGCTTGTACAATTTTAGTAAATTGTGACAAAATCATCCCCCATTGCCTCCCAGTTCTTGTTTCTTAAATTCCTCTGTTGTTAATGCAACCAGAAGAATGTTCTATAAGTACCAATTGCTGTCCCACATACGAGTTTTGAATAGGTCTTGTCTGAGATGGGTTTGCATATAAATTATTTACCACTCTTTTTACACAAACGTTACCATTCTTTGTGTGGTCTGTTGCTTTGAGTAAAGAGGGAACAAGTCACACATTGATGATCATCTTGAGATTCCACCTTTTTTCGCTTGGTCACACGCTCGTTTAACATTTATAAGTTAGGCGGCCATTCATCTACTTTTTGGAAGTCATAGAGGGCCTGTAGCTGGCTGTGTTTGTTCACCCACTTGCCACAGGCAGAGGTGGGCGTGGTGCGGTGCTTATTCTTAGTCTAAGTGTCTTGAACATTTTATGAAGGGACGTTACTGCATCCTTCAGTTACTGTTACAGAATTTCAAGTTGTGAAATGTTTTGAGTTGCCAGATGAAATTTTCAAGGTTCACATTTAGACAATGAACATTTACATTCTATGATATGGTAAAACTCATTTACTTAAGTTCCTGTAACACTTGAAGTATATTTTTGCAGCCATACCATAGAGTGTTTCCAAATTCACTTATGTTGTTTGTTTCAGTTTAACACACTAACAAAATTTGGGGCATCATTGAATATTTTCAGATACTTATATAATGGGCTTTATGTTGTATTTGATAGAGTCAGGGAAGTGAGAGTTTAGCAGAGGAGCATATTTCATCCTGGTGTTTTTGTTTGAACAGGGAGAAAAAACATCAGTGAAGCCGGTGGCCTGTGCTACTGAGTCAGGCGTCACCATCAACAATGAGGTCTCGGTAAATTTTCCTTCTCCATTGCTGGCTGCTGCCCCCATTCCTGTGGTGTCAGCCCCCACTCCTGTGGTGCCAGCCCCCACTCCCAACATGCCACAAGCTCAGTGAAGCCGGTGGCCTGTGCTACTGAGTCAGGCGTCACCATCAACAATGAGGTCTCGGTAAATTTTCCTTCTCCATTGCTGGCTGCTGCCCCCATTCCTGTGGTGTCAGCCCCCACTCCTGTGGTGCCAGCCCCCACTCCCAACATGCCACAAGCTACAAATCTTGATGAGGCAGAGGCACTACGTCTTCTTGCACGTTATCTCATGTTACCTGTACGAACTAAGACGGAAAAGAACAGACAGAAGAGAACGAGATACAAGATGAACAAGAGGATGAAGAAAGCAGCTGAGGTGTGGAGTCATTTTAATAGTATGAGATTCACATAAATAAGATTATTGCAAATAACAGCGACTGACATGAGATGGTTATTTCTTCCGTCACTTTGAAAGACAGAAGGATAAAGACAATATTTAGAGTACTTTTATGTGATGACAGAATGGTGATATAGTTGTAGAAAAGATATTAGAATCCTCTTGTCCAGTTGGTACTTCAGCTGGGACATGTCACTGACATAAGACGGCCGTCTTCTAGGTGTAGTTTGGTAGACATACGAGTGTACCAGTAGGCACAGCGCTCTGAGTTCTAGTTCTCAGACAGTCTGTGGTGTTCAATCTGGTCAATGTGGCTAATGCCGGTCATCGACCCTTACTTCCATCGTTGCCACTGCAGCGTTTGAAGGCAATTGCTTATCATTCTTTGGTGAACGTCTTGTCTTATTGTAATTGGTTCCACAATTATGTGAAGGAAGGTAGACAAAGCAGTCCGTCCCATAACTTGTTAACGCTGGCTGAGTATTGAGGTTTTGCTGGTGAGGAGAAGATTACATGGTGCTATATGTCCATTACATAATATTCCTTATGATAAGGTACTTAATTATGCACAATGGCAACTTTATCATTAGACCATGAATTGATGCTGTGTTTCAGGTTGCCTGTGAGAGTGATTGCCAGCCACATGGGGTTATAACAGTACCTGGGATTTTTACATCTCTCGAGCAACAGTATGACAATCCAGTACCTGAGTGTATGCGGAATGCACATAATCCCCAATATGAGGTATGTTTCGTACTGTCCTTAATTTTTAGTCTGTAATCAACTGTAGTCTTGTGGGCTCATTAAATTGACTTGTTATGGGCTGCAGAACTGGGGCCCAGTTTCTGCCAGAGAAGGCATCAATTTTGTGACCATGATGTCAAGTCTGTCTAGGAAAAGAGACGAGAAAATGATGGCAGTGTTTCAGCTGGTCAAGAAATGTCCTGTTTCTTAAGGAACCAAACCGTTTATCATAATGTTATAAGAGCGTAATAAGACTGGAATTTATTGAGACAGTTGAATTCAATGCCCATTTTCATCAATAGTGTGAACAGCGTGACTGTAACTTTTTGGAGTTGTAGGAACATTAGCACCACTTAATGTGTTAAACAGTATGTATTTATGTTCCTGTCTGATATCTTACTAATGATGCATTGGTCCTCAGCACATGAAAGTCTGTTGAGAGGTACGACATAATGATGCCTGAAATTTTTATGCCATATTATTCTATTTATGCATGTTAGAAATGGAAAAAGGCAAGAACTCTTACCTCTCACGCTATGTCTTGACAAGTTTAGCGTAATCATATATTCATAAAGCGCTTTCAGATTTGCTTGGTATAATTTGCGTTTTGTGAGGATGTTTCAGAGGAACTGGAACATGACAGTACTTTCATGTCTGAATTGGTGATCAGTGTCCGAGCAATGCGTTATCTGTCCGGTAATGTCAGGAAGCACAGCAGTCACGTTTTGGTTTGGGCATCAGCTGGGCTTCTGCAAGAGTCTTCTAGGTTGAATTTGTTGAGTGCAGGGTCAGAGTAATAAATCAACAGAGTCTTCTACATTTCTGAGGACTGGAACATCAGACTCTCACAGTAGTGGTTTACACTCCACTTCCTATTCAGTAGGTCATGATCTGAAATCTTTGCCAGGTCATGACGGATTTTATGAATGTTGCTGAAGCTATTCTGGCCTGGACTGGGGATATGCGCATGGTGTTCAGTTTAACGGTCTTTTGGTGAACCTCGTGTCTTACACATGATATTTGTGTCTTTGTCGTTGTTTATTCCGTCATAGATGCTGCCAGAGGAAAGGTCAGAAAAATTACCTGATGCACTTGACACAAAAGATGAGACAGTAAAAGATATAGAAAAATTGCTATCCACATTTCAAGAAAAACTTTTTGACCTTGAGAAGCAACTGTTGCTTGAACAGCATCAGAGACAGGAGATGGACTTTGATAAACATGATGTGGACACTGAATTCATTGGCCTCAACGATTAATTGGATAAGTGTATACTCAAATTGAAGAGGTAAAGTGGTAACATGCGACTAGCAGAGAAGAATTCACCCTAACCGTCATTAATACTGATGAAGAAGCTGCTGGCAAGGCTGAGTCTCAGAAGGCTTTTACGAACTTAACTTACAATTGGCTGAGGTAAATGACTCTTTAGTTGTTATTCAAATATTATATTTTCAAAGTTAATGCATTGACTAATTACTAACTCCTGGGTAGGAGAACCCACAGGTTCAACACCGACATCCAGAGCCCATCACTGGTCACAATCCTGAGCCAACTACATCCATTTGCCTTCCTCACAGCCCACCTTCCTAAGATCCATCTTGATATTATCCCCATCTCCTTCTTGGTCTGTCCAGTGGTCATTTTCCAGAAGAATTCCCTACCAAAATCCTGTATGCACCCCTTGTCTCCCCTACGTGCTACATGTTCAGCCCATTTGAGCCACCTCGATTTCACTATCCTCAGTGTGCCAGGTGACCCGTACAATTCACGTGGGTCCTCATTATGCAATATTTTAAATTCCCCACGTATTTCACCCCTCCCAGGTCCAAATATCCTCCTGAACACCTTTTTCTTCAAACGCTTGTAATGTATGTTCTTCCTTGAAGGTAAGAGACCATGTTTCACAACCATACAAGGCAACATGCAAAATTATCATCTTTTATATCCTGACCTTCAGTGTTTTGGATGGCAAAAGAGATGATAACAGTTTATGAACTGAATATAAGCAAGTGTTGCCCGAATGTATTCTACTCTTGATTTCATCATGGACCTCATTTTTATTTGATATTGTTATTCCCAGATACTTAAATTCTGAAACATTTTCAAATAATGTGTTACTTATAGTTATGTTCTCGAAGGTATCACCACCTTGTCGAAGGCAATTTGCTGGGTGAGGAGGCTTGCGTGCTCAAATGACCCTTAGGGCTATCCCGGCCGGAGCTTCGGCTCATGGTAGGGTCACCCAAGCCGGACAGGTCTAAGGCGATGCGCCAGACTAAGAGTGATACCCTGGTCCTCCAGGTTGGGGGTTGGGCATAAGGCTAACAACCTTTCACCCCCCAAAAAAAAGCATTGTTACGAACACATTAACCAAGCCTCGGATCAGGACGGACTCTTTGGCATGACCATGGCTAAATAAGGACATGAGATTTGGTACTTGGAACATTAGGAGCCTCTATAGGGCTGATGCACTGAAATCAGTGAGTAGGGAATTAGAGAATTATAAGTTAGACTTAGTGGCAGTGCAGGAAGTACGATGGGGGGGAAAGGGGACGATCCCAGTGGACAATTTTACATTTTTCTATGGAAAGGGGAATGACAATCATCAGCTAGGGACGGGTTTTTTTGTTCATAACAGAATTAGGGCAGCAGTTAAGAGAGTAGAATTTGTTAGTGACCAGTTGTCTTACGTAATTTTGGAAGGACGTTGGTGCGATGACATTGTCCTTAATGTTCATGCCCCGACTGAGGACAAAAGCGATGATATCAAGGATAGCTTTTATGAAGAACTAGAATCAGTATTTGATACATTTGGCAAGTATCACATGAAAATTCTGCTGGAGAAAACTGCACAATGACGAACTTAAAAATCTGTACTCCTCCCCCAGTATTGTCAGGGTGATTAAGTCGAGAAGAATGAGATGGGCGGGGCATGTAGCGCACATGGATGGGACAAGAGGTGTGCACCGGGTATTGGTTGGAAAGCCTGAGGGGAAGAGACCCCTGGGGAGACCTAGACATAGATGGGAGGATAATATCAGGCGGGATCTATGGGAGATAGGAGTTGAAAGAAACTGAATTTTGTTGGCCCATGACAGGGTCCGGTGGAGGGCTTGGGTTAATTCGGTGATGAACCTTCGGGTTTGGTAAGCCATCTAGTTAGTTAGTTATGTTCTACAAGAGGATGAAGAATTCAATTCAGTTATGGAGAGCCTGTAATAGTCTTGAGAGTCACGTACCTGAATATTATTACAAATAATAATGAGTGATATGACATGTGATGGTTTTTTCTTTCTGACTTGGAAAGAAAGAAAAATAGATACAAAGTCTAAAGCACTTTAATGTGTCAAGGGAGAAGTGACATGTTCTATGGTTTTACAAAAATATTAATATCCTTATTTTCTCAGTTTCTTCCCCATTTTCTCATATGAGAAGGTAGCCACTTTAACTCCATCTCATATATCTTAATAGTCAATCCATAATCCCTGATTTCATAATCGCTTTTACAGATATCCACAGTATAAGGAGATACTGTAGATTCCGTCCCGACAAGTCTTCATTTCTATATTAATGTGACTTAACGGAGAAAAATTTTACTTCTATTGCAATGATTATATATTTACTTGTACAGGTAAGACTTGGTTTATGCCAGGGTTAGGTTCCTCAGATTTCTGGTGTAAATTGAAGCAAAAATATAATGGGAACATATGTGAATACATTAGTTTCTGTTCCAAGATTTTCAGTAATTAACACAAAATACCTGAAATTTTTTATATTTTATGACATTTACGTATTAAAAATTGTGTAATATTTAAGATAATAATGTATAAGAAAAAGAAAGAAATTTTACTGCTTTAAAAACGATAGAATAGGTGTCTGTTTGGTTTTCTTCTTTTCTGATAATAAGTTATAGTATGGCTGTAGAACTGTCTCAATTCCTACCTAAACAGTTGAGCTCCACTCCCAGTTAGGATCGTTCTACAGAAGATCTCACATCCCTTATTAATAAGAGCAGTAGCCTCTTGTAATGATTTCACTGTCAGAGTCCTAACCGGCATTGCAGAGTCAGCTTTACTTTCCTCTGTGTCTGTGGACAGTTGTTCAGCTAACTCTTCTAAATCCAGTGCGAATCCAGAATGCAGTCAGGCCAAAGCTTACGCCAGACACCATTCATACGTGATTTTGACACTTCACTCCACACCACTGAAATGTTGGAGATCCCTTTCATGATGTCATATGACTTCCAATTGTCTATCAACGTGACATTATCGGACACTTGAATAGCCTCAGAAATTCCCTTGAGTGTTGTCCGTAAATAATAAGTCTTGAAGGTGGATGTTGCTCCTTGATCCAGGGGTTGTAAAGGTGAGGTTAATGTAATGTGCTTTTTCTCGTCACATTTTATATTCCGTTTTTTATTTAATTATTTAAATTTTAGACCATAGTTTATCATTTAGTGTTATACGAGTAGTTTTATTACAATGCCGGGACCACCTGTGTCTAGGAAGTCAGGCAGTCATGATTCATCACCACCTCCAATCGTGATCTGTGAGAGGTGCAAAAGTGAAGCGGGCGTAATTTGAAGCGGCATAAACCGAGTCCCACCTGTATTTTCTAAATGTGCAATGAATCGTTCTAAAATGGTAACATCCTTACCGAACATACGTTATGCTTTATTTTTCTTGTGTTACACATGCTGCCATAATACTCATTAAATTTGGGTTCTTTATTATGTCCTATTTTCTTTGAATGATGTCCAGTGCTAAATGTTCCAACTTAAACAATTTGTTCCTTTTCAAGGATGCTGAGAAATACATAGTTTTTGGTCAAGTTTATAAAATTAACCCTCCAGTGGAACACGTTAATTAATGATGAATTGGGGTCTCCTTGTATCATCATCAAGGATACTGGGAAAGACCCGTTCTTCAAGTACCTGAGCACTGTAGGTCCAAACTTTTTGTTGGCTTGATCTATAGACATTCGGTAGGACTCCTTGGACGAGGGATCGGCCTGTCGCAAGGCCACTACCTGTACGCAGGGCAACACAACGCGGAAGGACATCCATGGCTTGAGTGGGATTCGAACCCACGTTCCCAGCGACAAAGCGGCATAAGGCCCACACCTCAGACCGTACAGCCCCTGCGGACCCCCATCATCAAACGTGTCACTAACCAACAGCCTCACAAGTATGATTTGAGGTTTTCATAGCGGTGAGCCTGAAGATTGCTCTTTTCTGGGTTATTGTGCAGATTTCCACCAACGTTTCAGAAGTCATGCTGCCTCTGTTATCGTCGCCCTGATGACGGAGGCAGCATGATCTCTGAAATGTTGGTGGAAATCTGCCAGACTACATGGCTCAATAATCCAGAAGACAGCACTCTTCAGCTTCTCAAGTCATAATCATTTCAGTCAATGTACAAGGGTGAATCTAGTAGATAGAAATTATTAAAACTTTGCATACCATGTAGTGTATTGGAATATAAAAACAACCATACAAACAAACTGTTTTCACTGTAAATGACACTAGTGCCAAATGCGTTTTGACCTCAATAGTTGATCATTAGTGGCAAAACGGGAATTAATTCATATAATATGATCAAAAAAATATGGTTTTAAACAGATCGTAAAGGTGAGTTCTTTACAAAACCATATTAAGTAACACTTCACTTCACAGGAGTTGGCGTATTGTATTCTGCACTTAGCTCTTAGTCCACTGGTCTGGAGGCCGTTGCTGGTCTACGGCGAGCCACGGTTGCGTTGTCTGTGCCTGTGAACTCCAACAAAGCATGGGGTATATATAAGCTCAAATTCAGGGTAACCGACTATTGTATATGAAATTTACATTTTCCTGTTTAATGCTAGGTCAAATACTGTGTTTAAACCATGGGTGTTCTGTTTGTTAATGTTATCTTGGTTTTTACTAGTTTTATATGTACGGAACTTTACTAAAATATCAAGCTATTCTTAATACATCCATGATTTTTCCCATGGGGCCTTATTCACATCCTTGATAAAAGACAAGTCGTCATTAACGAACAGAACACCCGTGATTCAAACGTATTATTTGACCAAGCATTAAACAGGATAAAGTAAATTTCATATACAATAGTTGTGCCACTTTGAATTCAGAGTTAATATATACCCTACGCATTCAAAAACTGACTAACGCCCGCGCTTTGTTGGAGTTCACAGGCACAGACGACGCAACTGCGGCTCGCCGCAGACCAGTGGACTAATAGCTAAGTGCGTTTGGCACTAGTGTTATTTATAATGTAAAGAGTTTGTTTGTATACTTATTTTTATATTAGATAGAAACTGTTAATAATTTTGTACATGTATTTTTGTAAATAAAGTTTTGTACAGTAAAACCTCTCTAACTTGGACAATTGCGGTTCCACAATAATGTGTCCAACTTACAGAGGTGTCCAGGATAGAGGGAAAGGAGAAAATCATACTTTAAAATTGTGGTGTAATGACAATGTGGTAATTGTAGAGTATTATGGAGCCCTTCCCAAAAAGGAAATTATTGATAAGAAAAATCGAAAGGGTAAATTCAATTTTTACAAATTTTGTTTTCACTAAATTAAACTTGCTTGGATAAGCTCAAGGGGAAGGACACCAATACCTTTACCGACAATGTAATCTATTTACTTACATAATCTAACTACTGTAGGCTTGCTTGAATTAAGAATTCAATTCTTTATTATTTGTGTGCCATATCAACAGCCTGATAGCCAATTACAGATACAGCACAGAGATAATCTGACGAACACAATAAAAGCATAGAAGGTAAAACAAGCAATATATAAAATACATTAATACGGAGAAAGTAAATACAGAAGAAAATTGCAACTAAAAATATATTAGCATATTTATAAAAATAATTTAAATCAATTAAGCGAATTGTACTATTATAGAATGTGAAGATGTGTGACAATTTTCGTCTCGAATATGTCCAAGTCTCTGCAGACGACATTAACAGCTGATGCGCATCTAGCAGAAGGACTGTTTTTGATCAAAGGGCTAAAACTGAACATAGAATAATCTCTCAGATTCCGAGCAGAGCATCAGCTTGACCCTAGGAGCCAGATATTGGATTAATAAAATGTAGACAGGTTACGAGATTAGTTACTGTAGATTTAGATTTAGTGAAGCCATGCTGACAAGGATTTAATTTAGACTTTATGTAATGTGAGATATGAACATAAATAACAAGTTCAAATAATTTGGAAGAAGTATTAAGTATAGAAATGGGTCGGTAGTTACTAACAGTGGCAGAGCTGCCTTTTTTAAGAACAGGAACTACTGCTACCTGTTTCCATAAAATAAGGAAATAATAATAATAATAATAGTAATTAAGTTACAATTGAATTGTGATGAAAACATACACTTAACTTAAGACAGTTTATCTTGACTAGGAATCCTACTAAATTTGTTATTGCTGCTGAAGACTGTTATTTTTTTACTTACAGGACTATCGGCGGTAAGTCTCGAATAATTTTTCCTAGACTTCCACATTATGATCAAAAGAATAATAAAAGTATGTTGCCTCTCACTCCAATACTCCCTGCGGTTTGCATACTATGGAAACCGGAGTTGTTGAATCACAACAATTGAAGATCGCAGCGAAGTTGATTTCTATTGTTGAGAGACAGGCTGTTTATTGACTCCGTGTTTAAAATGATGTTCCATTGTAGTCATCTGCAATGTGTACATTGTTGTAAATGGATTATTAGGAAAATATAAACAGTTTGTTTCATTGTGACATAGTTCCATTTGTTTTGTTTATTCTGATCTTTTATTTTGCTTAGTGAATAAATAAATTTACTAAAATTGAAGAGCTTTACCTTCCACGGAGAGTTTTAACAAGGTTTTATTCAGCGTAGGCAATTAATTGCGAAAAAAATCACGTACTTTCACCCGAATTGCTGATTTCGTTAAATCGTCATACATTTTTCAAAAAACAAGTAATGTTGCGAATTCTTCCCGGGCTAGTGTGTTATTACCAGCTTTCGAATCTCTTCGGATTCTTTACACGCTAGACTTCCCTATTCCTGTAACTTGAGATATCATTTCTGAATTATCCTGGCACTTATTATTGAGCGGGTAAAGGACACACCTTTTTTCACCGCTTGTAAGAGGTTTACTTCTTTTATGTTTTACAAACGAATTATCAGCCATCTTGAATGTGTTCTTACAAAACACTTAATTTTATTCTAATATATACACTGCTGTAACTTCATATTTTACACACTGTAACCGCTAATCAATCCGTGTACTTTCATATGTCAATTCTATACTTGTCAGAAAGCCAACTTTTATGTGCTACGATATAAGTTTTTGTATAATCCACTTATTGTCCTGCTTTTCTTTTCTTAGTTTATCATTCCTTTATAGAGTATTTATATTCTGGAATATTGTAAGCTTGGATCGGAAATGGACAGCCGATACTAAGTGATATAGCGAGGCTTTAGAAATTACGAGACTTGGAAATTCCTTGGTACATAAATTACCTGCGCTTAGCCCAAGTGGGTTTTGCCGCTCATTAGGGATGCCCTTTAGAACTCCCTGAGGATTGGTGGGATAGGGTAGGACTTTTCGAACCGAAACTGGACCAACACGAACAGGAGTTGATGTTACATTCCCTTTTTGGGCAAAGCTGGGAATTTTCTTTGTCCAGCCGTACAGGTGTTTCCGGTATAAGTAGGGCTTTTTTGTCCATAATTGCGCAACCGCCGCGGCCAAAGGGGAGAATCGAGCCACCGCCGGCAAGAGAAAAGCCAACGAGTTGGACTTGTCCAACTCGGGCGGTTCGTTGTAACCAGCCTCTAGGCGCCAAGTGCCCGGGCCACTGTCCGGAGCCGGGTCCTCTCCTCTGCCGGTACCGCCGAAAGTTCACCGACCCGATGGCCCTGTGGTTGCACCCATCAGTTCCACGGGCGAACAAGCCACCTCAGGTGGCCGGCAACTCAGATACGCTGAGGTCAGCGCGGCGTGCACCGGGGCAGTGGCCGGGCGACCGGGTAAAGGGGCGACTGCTGGGGTGGATTCCTCGGCACCGCTCCCAATAAAGTTGGGGCCTCGACAGAGGTTAAAGGAGCGAGGGACGTGAAGTCGTCCCGCGGACCTCCCCCCGCTCACCCTGCCGCGCTGAAACCGCCGAGCGGGACAGTCAAGAACTCAGCCAAGTAACCCGGCTCCAAGCCGGGACCCTCTTCCTCGACGGAGGAGGCACTTGGGCGCAGGTCTCCCCGGGCTTCCGTGGACCTGTCCGGGCCTTTGACTGACATGTCGTCGGAAGCCGGTTTAAACGCCCAAGTGGAGAAAATGGCTTCTGGGGAGCGCCGGAACAAAACCCCGGTGTACGTCTCTGGGGTGAAAAACATTCGCGGCTTCCTGCAGAGGATTCGCGCGAAGTCGGCCTGTGGGATCGTGGCCCAGATGAAGGGTGATATTCTGACCCTGGTCCCCGATACCGCCTACGGATTCCGAGCCACCGTCAGGGTCCTGCGATCCCTCGGTGACGGCGAAGGTGTGAGTTTTCACACCTTCTCCCTCGCCGAGGATAGGTGTGTGCGCCTGGTGATCAAAAACTTGGGCGTGCGCATGCCCGAGGCCGAGATACGCGAGGAGCTGGCCGCTATGCACATTGACGTGCAGGGGGTCATGCAATTCCGATCTAGGAGCAGGGACATGGACCGTCCTCTCACGACACACTTTATAGTGTCGGTTGCACGGGGCCCCGACGTGGCGAAGGTGCGTTCCGTTACCGAGATCTGCGGGTCAAGGTGGAGACGTACGTCGCACCGAAGGGGCCCATGCAGTGCAAGCGGTGCCAACGCTTCGGGCACACGCAGCGAAACTGCGGTTATGCACCTAGGTGCGTGGCCTGCGGGGACGCTCACCCATCCGGGTCGTGTGTCACCCCCAAGCAGCAGCTTAAGTGCTGCAGCTGCGGGGGCAACCACACTGCAAACTATAGAGGTTGCAGTAAGTGAAAGGAAGCCAAGGCGGCCGCTGCACAGCGTGCGAAAGGGGATCGCGGCAGAAATGACGGAGTCCTCACCAGCGCCTGCTAAGCATACTCCCGAGCAGAAGAACCTGGGCCCTGGCTGGAACTACGTGGTCCGCGGTGGCCGCGTCGTCAAGGCTGAGGCTGTGAAAACCCCCGCCCCAACGCCATCTGGCGCCATTGCACGGACTGAGCGGCAGGCTGTCCCTAAGGACGGCAATACCAAGCCCGCTCGTGCTGTAGTGCCGGTCTCAAATCCCACTGCACCCGCTCCTAAGAAGACCGCACCTGCTCCCAAGAAGACTGGCCCCACCCTAAGCTAAGTGCATACCTGCTCCTGTCCAACTTAAACAAAAAGGGGTGACCAAGTTTCAGGATAAAGGGGTGTCCGGTATATAGGGTTGTCCAACTTGTGGGGTTTTACTGTATATTTTATGGAGTGCAGTTTATT